AATCTCAGGGTAAGTCCAGTTCCCAGGCAGACAATTCCTCCAGAAGGCTCTTTCAACCTCCAATTCACCAAGAGAATGCTGGCAATGAAGGGTGCCCAGAGCGGCAGAGCATCAGCTTTGAGTGGAAAAAGTAAGTATGAGGCCAAGAGTTTTTAAGTTTAAATTCTGGTATATATTCATGTGTGCGTGTGTGCACGTGCACACACACACACACACACACACACACGCGCGCACAAGCACTAAAAAATAAAGGAAGGAAAAAGAAAGGAAAGAAGGATGTAAATTTAAATCTATACATTGTCATTTTTTGTATCATCATTAAATTGAAGCCCCATAATTTCCTTACAATCCTTGGAAGAGAGAAAGAACTAAATAGGACAAATATATAAAGAAAATATTTCACTTCATTTTGGGAATGGCCTAGAAATGCAGACTGACCTATTTTTTGTAAGATAAGTAAAAAGAGGTTTCGGAGAAGAAGGCTATTTTAGGTTGGGTCAATATTTTGTAGCAGTTCAGTTCTAGAAGGTGCTCTTGGGACTAGGGCTGACATGTCTCCCTTTCCCACCCCAGAGAGGAAAAAGGAAACCCAAAGTTATATAAGCAAGTCCTTAAGTCCTCCATAAGACTATTTACACTTATAGCTGAGCAAGCTAGGAATTTGGGGAAAAGATGGTAACTGTCAAAATGTCAGAGGCAACAACTACCGAGTAGAAAAGCCATTTGGATCAAAGTACCTTTAAGCACATCCTACACTATTTTTCAACCAAAATCTTTGCTTTGTGTATACCAATGATCTCAACCTACCATCATTAGAGACCACCCGTGCTGCTCCTGGTCACAGAAGAAGTTTCTATCTCTACATGATGTACATATAGAAGGCATCTTCTCATATGATTCACATTAGATCTACACAAAGAAGGATAAAGGCCAAATAGCCACAGTCTATAGTACTTGGAGAGTTTCTTATTCTGCATGGCAAAGTGTACTTAGCAACTCAAGTGTTGGACACTGGACCTGAAATCAGGTCTCACTACTCTAATTCTGTGGTAAGTATCTGCTGCAGTTTGGATCTTAGAAGCCTCCTAAAGGCCTAGATGTTGCACACATAGCCCTTACTTGGAGCTCTTGGGAGGTGCTAGAAACTGAGGTGGGCCTGATCAGCGGTCCTAAGTCACTAGGGAATATCCTTGAGTGGAGTGTGGCACCCTGGTCTCTTCCTTTTTCCTGGTAATAAGAGAACCAGTCCTGCTTTGGCACATGGTCACACCTTACTGTCTCACCATATTGCAAAAGCAATGGGGCCAGCCAGTTATAAAAGGGACCTTCCTAAGCAAAGTCAAAATAACCCTTTTCTCATAGTGTTTCTGTCTTTTTCTTCCTCTTGTCCTTTGAGACAAGGTTTCACTATGTACCCCATAGTCTCACCCTTAACTCACTGATATAGCCCATGCTGGCTTCAAACTCATGATCTTCCTGACTCAGTTCCTAAGGCTGAGGAATATAGAGACATGCCACCATGCCTGGAAACCTTTTCTCTTTATACGCTGATTAACTCAGCTGACTAACACAATGCCATCATATAAAGGGAGGGATATAACATTTAAATGACAATTGAGTAATGCAAGTTTTAATTTAAATATTGAACTACCATTATATTAAATAAACCACTGACTCTCCAAAGGTCTCATTCTTCTCTTTTAAAAAGAAATTTAAACTAGATGACTTCAGTTATTTACTCAAGAAGAGATATTAAAGCCATAATATGTTAACACTAGGCGATATAAGATAAATAAGACTAAGATCTTTTCCCTAATAAAGATAAATGGATATGACCCAAGCATGAAGAGGATAGCCAAGAAGCAATAATGTGATAACAGAAGAAGATAAGAACTTTGGGAAAGAAGAAAAGAAGTCACTTAGAAAGAATGGCGAGAGGACCTTACATTGAATTAAATCATGTATGAGTGGAAATTAAAATTTAAGGAGATAAAAATGACATTCAAAGCAGAGAGAAACAAAGGCTGAATAGAAAAGCAGCTGAGATTGGCTAGGAAATCATAAACAGTACAGGGCTTCTGCAGCAAATCTACAAAGCAGAAGAGACATGAAGCAACAGTTGGAAGGAGAGGCCAGATTGAAGAGATCCTTACATGATATATTAAGAAGCTGGACGTTATCCAGTAGGCAATAAAGATCCAAGGCAGGGCTTTCAGAGGCAAGTGGCATAGTTAGGATGTAATTTTAGAAAGATCATTTTGACAGCCATGCAAAGGAAGAACATGAATGATACAAACTAGACACAGAGAATCTAGTTAAGAATCTATAGCAGAGATGACGCGTGCTCATTCCAGGGTGATTATAGCAAAAGACATAACAGGTTCAAGAAATAAGAAACCAATCAGTAGGACCAGAAATGGATTGAAAGTGGAGTAAAGATGTGACAGGAAAGAAAAAGAATGGAATAGATCCAGGTTTCTGCTTAGACAGAGACAGAATGATATTGAATAAAGGGGAAGCAACAGAAAAACTTATCCTGAGTTCAATTTAGGACATGTCAATTCCAAAGTCTGTAGGGTAGCGATGTACACAGCCAGTTTAAAACAGTAACCCAATGCTCAGGACGCCAGCCTGTCTGAAGAAGCTGCATACACCGTCACTGAAACATGAGGAATTATTGTGACCACAAGGGAGAAGCTATAATAAAGGGATATGTATGATTCCTGGCTAGATTTTGTTAAGTACCAAAATCCTGTGCCATTCAAAAGGAAAAAAAAAACAAAAAAACAAAAAACTAGGTGACAGTGACACAGAACACAGAGGGAGAGATGACCTCAAGAAGGAGGTCCTCCTCACCGAGATAGGGTAGTGCAGCTTGGGTGTAACTCCAGGAAAAAAGGAGCCGTAAAATGAGAGAATGGTAGAAGCAGGACAGCTATTCTCATCTTCCTCCTACCCGTTTCCTCTAAAGCAGGTCAGAAAGCCTAGGAGACCTTCCTTTGAAGCAGGTGCTGGCTTCTCATGTGAGAGCTACATTTATTATTCCCAAAGGAAAGAATCATCCTTATCTGAGATGCAGAGAAGAATTTAACTAACAGGCCTTACTCAGTTCCTCATTGATCACCATTAGGTTACACCCCTAGTCCAGTCACACTTCCCATGATCATCATCACACCTAAGCTTAAGGACTCAACAATGGGAGAGGGACCAGCTGTGAGCAAAAATCACTAGACCCTATCTTAAAAATGAATGAGGAAAAAAGGGCCTGGGCATAATTCAAGTGATAGAAAATCTGCCTAGCAAGCACAAGGCCATTGCATTCAGTTCAAATACTGCCAAAATAAACAATGACCTCCACATACACAGAGTAAAGGAGGCTAAGGTAAAAGTGGCATTACTGGTGAAGTAACACTGTCTTGTTCCAAATGCTACCTAAAAGAAATTCTGTCATCTGAAGTCACATTTCCACTCCGCCAATAATGGAATTAAAGAGAATGATCTATGAAGGTCATTCTTACAGCCTGTGCCAAAGTTGAAACTTCACTGATAACATTCCCCTGAATTCATTATTTCCTTAGGTAAATTACTAGTGTTAGTAGAATTTAAGATAATACATTCAAGCTTTAAAAATAGCAAATAAGGATAATTTTACTTGCTCTAAGATTCACACTAATAATAATATTGAAAACTTCACCACTCTGAATCAAGCAGTGATGCTGGTTATACAAGTCAAGACTACAGATGTCAACTAGTACTTATTCTGTATATCAGATGACTGTCAGTCACTGAACAGGATCTCTCCCCAAGAGTACAGCATTTATTTCAGCCTCTGCCAGTGGAAGTGTTAGAGCAGATGTTGGCAGACTGTGACATACAGTCTGTCTTTAAAACTTGTTGGGGTGTGAAATTGCATAAGGTCAAGAAATGCTGCATTTTGATAAGCAGACATAGGAATTCTCTACATTTATAAATTATTTCAGACAAACCAACAGAACTGCTTATAAACTAGACAAACAGAACTATACTGGCTATTATATGCTGCTAATCTTTTCAGATAATTTCTATCACTTTAAAGCAATGTTCATGCAAAGGATCTTTAGAAGGAAAATAGGTTTTCAAATCAGTAATAAATACAAGATAATATTCCAACTATCAGAAAGATTTTAAAACAGTTTCCTACTGAAAAAAAAGCCATTACTATCTAATAAACAGTTTGATGGGGAAAAAGATGTTTCTTTAAAGTATATATGAGAGGGGTTTATTATCTTAAGTAGTTATACAAAGAGATTTCAATTCAATATGTTATAACTATATTGTATCTTCTAGTGTCTCCCCCTTCCATCTATCCTAACCTGAATAGGAGCTCTTTTTTTAAAAAATTGCTACTTAAGAATCCACTGATATGAACATGATCATTCAATTAACTATAAAAACTTTATCTTAAAAATCATTAAAAATAGAAACAGACTCCAGGCTCTTACAGTGGTAATATGAAATTTATAACATTCAAACACTATTGTTTCTTGGATGTTGGTTGTTATTTAATTGGGTTTTTAAAAACCTTCAATTTTCTAAAATGTCTTTTCCAAACATAACAAGTAACACATCCAAAATGAATATTAAGGAGGTCATCTAGTTAAACTTTTCATCTCAATTTCACAGATAACAGAAGTTGATTTAAACTCAACTTTAAAATGCTTTACTTCTCAATTAGCACAGAAAAGTCCTTTTACTGATGAATCAATGGGTCTTAACAGTGTTAAAAGGCCTGGGTGTAACGTAAGTTTAATAATTGTTATTATCAGTTATCTTTCAGTTAATTTTGTGCTATGTTTAAACAATTACAGTATTTCTAAAAAATTAATTTTTGTTATACATTTATAAGAAAAGTGTAACTATGAATGCTTCTTTTCCACAGACTTCTCAGATATCCCAACATATTTCACACACAAAATTCTAAGAAAAAGTAAATGTGAAGTGAAGTAAGGTAATGGACTTACTTGCCACTGAGAAGTTGTTGAGGGGGTAAGGTAAGTCCACATCCTGAGGTTTTTCTTTATATCCTATGAATGAGCCGTCTGTCTTCAAAAGGAAATAGCGTGGCCTCCAGTTTTTTATATATTCTCCTGCATGAGGAAAACACATGTGTTAATGCTAAAAGGAAATGAGCAGTAGCTTTCATGTGAAAAATAAATTATGGTACAATGTATGTCCTACAACATTGGCCTCCAAAAATTTAGCTAGGCAATTTTCTTTTAACTAAGCTTACAAAAGAAAATACATAAACCTACAATTAAGATTCAATTAAAACCCAAACATGTTTTGTTTTTAATAATTCCACACTTCGATAATTCATTTGCATCATTATTCCTCCAGAAATCATTTATCTGAGTAAGCATTTTGTTTGGTTTTCCAGTTTGTCAGATGATTGTTTGAGTACATTTCCAGTTTTAAAAGCCTTGAAAAAATCAGGCATATAGTATTTATGAATTTTGGTGAAAAACATTTGCAGGAGTAATAAAAGGTATTTCTCTCTCATGTACCATTGACTACTTGGTATTATTTTTATATAAAGGAAAAAAAATGCTGGTGTTGGGTCCTAAACTCAGGCCTGGGCGCTGGCCCTAAGCTTGGTGCTCAAGGCTAGTGCCACAGTGCCACTTCTGGCTCAGTTGGAGATAAGAGTCTCTCATGGACTTTCTTGTCTATATTGGCTTAGAACCGTGAGCCTCAGAACTCAGCTTCCTGAGTAGCTAGGATTACAGGTGCTTGAGATCTAATAGCAGGGTACAACTATCCAGTACAGGACTGGAAAATAGAACCAGATGGCCATGCAGTTCTCATGGTGCTACAGAGCACAACTGTTGCTTAATGTTAGGAAAGTCTGTTTGGGTTGTCTAGCTGGAAGTATGTGCAAATCTAATAATAGGCACATTTATTGACTGTTATGTCATGGCCCTTTAACCTGTGTTGTTAACATCTATGTCTTTGTCTGTGTACTTGTATACAGTTTTGTTGTTGTTGTTTTGGTCAGTCGTGGGGTTTGAACTCTGCGCCTGGGCTCTTCAGCTCAAGGCTAGCACTTGAGCTACAGTGCCACTTCATGTTGGTTTTCTCAATGGCTTACTGAAGAGTTGGGGGGGGGATGGGAAGGAGTGTGGGAGGTGGGGGAGGTAAGGGATATTGGGACAACAACAAGGAAGGGAAGGGGTAACAATGATTGACAAGTAATGCACTCATTGCCTTACTCATGTAACTGTAACCCCTCTGTACAGCATCTTAATAATAAAACAAAATTTAAAAAAATAAACAAAGAAAAGAGTCTCACGGACTTTCCTGCCCTGGCTGGCTTTGAACCACAATCCTCAGATCTCAGCCTCCTGAGTAGCTAGGACTACTGTAGATAGCTTTAAGCTGTGTTTCAACCCGTGTTCTTTCATTTTCTTGACTTATAATTTTCATTTACAAAATGTTATTTTCCCAAAAAAATAAGCTTTAGCCAATATTTAATAATGAAAATTGTACATGGCAGCTATATCTATCATCTCAGTACGTGGGAGGTTGAGGCAAAACAATCTTAAGTTAAAATCAAGTTTGGGCCATGTAGTGAGACCCTGTCTTAAAAAAAAAATAAATTAAGCCAGGTGCCAGTGACTCACTGTGTAATCCTAGCTCTTCAGAAAGCTGAGATCTAAGGATCATGGTTCAAAGCCAGCCCTGATGAGACTTATCTGCAATTAACTATCAAAAAGCCAAAAGACAGGGCTGAGAAGGTGGCTCAGTGGTAGAGTGCTTGTCTTGCATGCATGAGGCCCTGGGTTTGATTCTTCAGCACCACATAAGCAGCAGAAGCCAAAAGTGGTGCTGTGGTTCAAGTGGTAGAACTCTATCCTTCAGCTGAAGAGCTGAGGGACAACCCCCAGGCCCAGAGGTCAGGCCCCACAACTGACAAAAAAAAAAAAAAAAAAGGAAAAAAGAAAAAAGCCAAAAGAAATCAGGCCTTGGTAGGTCATGACCAGGAGGCTAAGTGAGATGTGAGGATTGTAGTTCAAAGTCAGCCCAGGTAGCAAAATCTGTGACACCCTTACCTTCAATTAGCCACCAAAACGCCAGAAGTAGAGCTGTGGCTCAAGTGGTAAAGCGCACCCAGGCCCTAAATTCAAGTAACAAAACCAGTATGCGCGCACGCACGCGCACACACGCACGCGCACACACGCACGCACGCACTTTTCAAAGGCACTGTTCCAAAGACATCCATCAATATACATCCAAAATTTGTCTGCATTCAAATGTGAGTTGGTACAGTGTGACAACTGGAGAGCATTTCTAACACAAACTTCTCATCAACTTTCTACCCACATTTGCAGGTGTTCTACTTGTTCCTGTGGCTGGACTTTGTTTTGACCTACTTTATCTCCAATTCCAAAATACGCCATCATGTTTTACTTAACAGCAAGAGATACTCTGAGAAAAGCATTTTTAAGGCAATTTTGTCCTTGTGTAAACATCAGAAAGTGTACCTAGACAAATCTGGATGGTACAGCTTGCACATATCCTAGCACAGGTTTGCTAACCATCACAAGCACATGAGGAATGGTTTGAACTCTGACTAAAATCTTACTTGGTAACAGGAAATTTTAACCTCCATTATAATCTCCTGCAACCATTATTCAATATGTGGTCAGTCACGTACCAAATCCTTATGTGGGCATAACTGCATTTCCTAGCAAGGATTCTGGTAGTTTAGCTTGTATAATGAGCTAAATGATTCATTCTTCAAAGATGCATTCATCCTAACCTTTGGAACTTAAGAATATTACATCACTTTATTTGGCAAAAGATGTGATTAAGTCAATGATTTTGAGAAAGAGCTTCTGCTAGCTTATCTGAGTGAGCCCTAAACCCAATTTTAAATGTCTGTGTATGAATGGAGTGATGCATAGAGAGAAGGCAATGTAACCATGTAGGCAAAGACTGGAATGATACACCATAAGCTAAAAAGCACCTACCACCACCAGAAGCCATAAGAAATAAGGAATAGACCCTAGAGCCTTCAAAAGGAGTAGGCTCAGCCACCCCGTTTTCTAAGTTCCAGTCTATACAACGAGGACAGAATCATGAGTTTCTGTTGTTTTAATCAATGTACCCTGCTATACTCTGTTACAACCACCACGGGAAATACAGTTTCTAATCACTGTAACCAAAGGATTATTCACAGAACAGAAACAACAAAAATTGAATTCATTAGTCCTTGGCATGGAATAATATACAGATTCGGTTTATATCTCCTGAATGAAAACGACAAAATCCTTATACCTTCTATAAAAATGAGAGAATCCAACTTGTGAAATGCAGAGTTGGAAGAGGCTGTTTTCTAGAGTGCAGAGTTCTACTTATAAGGACTCTAGATTTTGGTCCTTTGCCAACTTTCCCACAGTGCTTAAAATTTATTAAAATAAACATGATTTCTCTTAAGGCTAGGTTGTGTTGAGTTATAACTCTAACTTCAAGAGAAATACAAAGTTAGATATGAGCTGAACCATGTACAAACTGCTGTAGCAATGTTTAGTTAGCTGTTAGAGACCTACCCATCTATTGAAATCCAATGCTAAATGAGATGGCACTAAAAACACATATATATTAACATGTTTTACGAGAACAAGCACAAACATAATCCAAATGAATATAAATCCACATTTATGTATTTATGGAGACAAAGTCATTGTTTTTAAAATATGCTATTTGCTTAAATAAAATGGAAAATAAAAGGTCCTAGAGTAACATGTGTAAAGCAACCAAGTTGAAATTCAGAGTTTTCTAAGATACACAGAGGATAGAGATTTTTAAACTACCACTGGCGAGTCACATTTCTTATATATAACATTGGATTTTAAAGCTAGTTACTCTGCAAGGAACAAAGAATAAACATTCTCAAATGTTTGTTCTCTACTCTACCTTGGACAAGATGGTATATACCTGTAATTCCAGGACTCAGGAAGCTGAGGTAGAAAGAGCATAAGTTGAAGACAATCTGGTGTACACAGATAGAGCATCTAAAATTTTCTTTCTAAGTAAAACATGATAATTAAGAACTCTTGACTATACTGATTCGCTGCACAAATGCAGCCACTCCACTATATTTACCTTCTTCCTCTGTACAATGGGAATCATATCATACTTACATAAAGAATTTTTGTAAGGGCATACTGTAAAAGTTCTTAGCATTTCATATTTAACAAATGTTAAACTCTAAATTAAATGGAACTGCTAATTTGATAACATAATTTGTAATGGTACTGTGATTATTCGGTAGTATTTGCATAAATACTAAATTAATAAATACTGCATTAATAAATTCATCCCACCAGCTGGACATATGACTCACATCTGTAATCCTCACTATTTTGTGAGGCTGAGATTGGGAGGACTGTGACTCAAGGCCAGCACCAGTAAAATGTTACTGAGACCACAATGTCAACAGAAAAAGTTGTTTGTAGTGGCATGCTCCCTCCATCCCAGCTATAACAAAAAATACAAATAAGAGGGTGTGGTCTAGACTAGCCAGGGAAAAAGGAGACCCTGTCTCAAAATTAAAAGCATAAAGGTCTGGGGCATAACTCAAGTGATGATGCACCTGCCTAGTAAGCATGAGGCTCTGAATTTAAACTCCAGTACTGTCAAAAAACTTTCTTAAATAAAAATAAATTGGGGCTGGGAAGGTGGCTCAGTGGTAGAGTGCTTGCCTCCCATGCATGAGGCCCTGGGTTTTATTCCTCAGCACCACATAGAAAGAAAAAGCCAGAAGTGGTATTGTGGTTCAACTGGTATAGTGCTAGCCTTGAGCTGAAGAGCTGCAGGACAGTGCCCAAGCCAAGTTCAGGCCCCACAACTGACTAAAATAAATAAGTAAATAAATAAATGAACATACAACTGGCCTTTCTGATTTTTTATTGATATACACAAATATCCAGCATTATGAAAACACAAGCTTTTTAAAGAATTTCCAGAGAGCAGAGCTTTAAACCAGAAAATGATAGTGTTCAGTAAAAAATAAATTTAAATGACTTATGAACCTATCTTCAGTAATACTCTTATATAAAAGTCTACTTCAGACAGGAGATTTAGA